TCCAAGACGGTGGGCAAGACTCGTGACGCTGCAGACCCCCCTGACGAAGAAGGAGCGTCGCTATACAGAGCGCTCGTGGGGACGGCGCTCTACGTCGGTCAAGACCGACCCGAGGCGCAGTACGCAACGAAGGAAGTCGCTCGCCACATGTCAACACCTACGAGATCGGCGTGGTGTGCCCTCAAGCGGTTGTGCAAGTACTATTCGGAGGTGCCGTTGCTCGTGTGGGAGTTCAACTACCAGAAGATGCCAGAGGACGTGAGAGTGGTCACGGACGCGAACTGGGCAGGCGAGCTGGAGGCATTGCGTTCTACCTCCGCTGGCTGGGTATACTTCGGAAGCCATCTACTCGAAGCCTATTCCTCGACTCAACAGATAGTGGCTTTGTCGACGGCGGAGAGCGAGTACATATCAATAACGAAAGGAGCTGCACATGCGTTGGAGGTCAGGAGCGCGCTCGCCGAGTACGGCTGGGTCAAGAAGGTGATCTGCGAGGCGGACTCGTCAGCTGGACGGTCGATGGCCACAAGACGTGGCGTGGGTCGAGTGCGTCATCTGGACGCGCGCCTGTTGTGGCTGCAAGAGTTGTGCGCAGACGGCACGATCGAGATGCGCGTGAAGCCTGGGGAGTCCAACGAGGCGGACCTGGGCACCAAGATGGTCGACATACAGAGGGTGACCAAGTTGATGAAGACTACGTCGCTGCGCCCTCCTGGGGGCTGGGGCTGCTGGGTCGTGGCAGCGGCACTGGAGAAGGCGACTGCAGCAAACGACTGCAGCGTCGACTTGGTCAAGTACGACGGGGCGATGGATCGGACCAGTAGGAGTGTCCTTGAGAGCTGGGTGCTGGTAGCCCTCATCGGCATGGGCGTGCTCTCGTTGATCCTGGGGCTCGCGTGTGGCTATGCCGTGGGAAGGTGCTGCTCGCCGAGGAGCGCCACTGGCGAACGGCGCAGTGTGGAGTCCACGCAGACGGAGGAGCTCGAGATCATTCCGTACTGGGAGTGGCTGCTGAACGACCTGCAGAAGGAGCTGCACTCCAGGGGCGTGAAGGCGATCCCGAAGCTGAAGGGCCACTGCATCCAGAAGTTGTTGGAGATCGACCAGGTGCGCCTGGTGAGGCCACAGCACTGGCCGCGGGTCAAGAGAGTGAGGCAGTTTTGAACGTGGATTCGCGCCGATGGCTCTTCTTGGGGGCGTTTAAGTCCTGGCCAGGCCTGCAAAGCAGATCGGGCAGTATCGGTGCGTTTCGGAATGCGTGCACCTTGAGCACGCAAGGACTACAGCCTGACAGATGCCGAGTCGACTTGCGATTGAGCATGCGCGAGTCGAGAGGAGGTGCGGCAGTTTCTGGGGTGTCGGGGCCAATGTAGTCCAAACCTGGCTGACACATTAGGGTCCTGCGTGGTAGTATGATGTTGTAGCAGAGGGGCTTGTGCAGCGCAGTACGCTGTCACGGTGTCTGCGCTGACCCCTCTCTTCTTGAGGGGCTTGTGCAGCACGAGCAGCAGCAGCTTAGCAGCATCAAGACTGGAGATCTGTCGTTGACGCTTTGGCTCAAGTCAAAAGGATGTCACGATCCGTTCGGCTGACGCCCCATCCGCGCAGATTCTCCACGGTTATTGATTGTCTAGGTGAGTTACGCGGCGCTCTCGTGGGGAAAAGGAGGAGCAGGAGCAGGAGCAGGAGGAGGACGAGGGAGGAGGAGGAGGAGGCTGAGGAGGAAGAGGAAGAGGAGGAGGGCGAGGAGGAGGAGGAGGAGGAGGAGGAGCAGGAGCAGGAGCAGGAGCAGGAGGAGGAGGAGGCGGGGGAGGAGAAGGAGTAGAAGGAGGAACAGCAGGAGGAGGGGGAGGAGTACTAGGAAGAGGGCAAGAATGAGTGGGACGAGGTGGTGCAGCAGTATTTATCCTGGGGTCGATGCAAACGGTTTTCACATGCTTTCGTCAGTTGTGCGAAGAGGACGACGGATCAGGACGATGATGTGGAGGAGGTGACCCACACAGCAATATCTTCACGAATTTTTGAGTCGATTGTTGAGAGCTCTTGGGCCTGAGCTCATCGTGTGCATTTAGATCCGTGCAGCAGTTGTGTGGACCGTTTGGTCGAGTTGTATGTGCCCCCAGTAATGTTGTTGCGATGCGCCAGCGTCGCGCGCAGTAGAACGTGCGTCTGATCAGGAGCCTCTCTCGTCGCTGTACGCAGACCGTGCCGAGAAGGAACCTGGGGAACAGGAGCCTTCGTCAGACCGCATCCATCGACCCGGCCTGCTGCTCTGGATTCGGGGCACAGTGCGAGAGGGCAGGCCTTCCCAGAAGGAGGCGGGCCTCTCAGAGGCCCTCCTGTCTTGTGAGAGCCCCCCGTGTGGCTTCGGAGAAGGCTTTCGGGTTCTTCTCAGAAGAATGGAGGCCTCCTGAGCCTTCTGAGAAGGCCCGCCCTCTCTGCTTTTTCCCTCTGGGCGCTCGCCGATGTCAGTGGACAAGGAAGGGCCTTGCTGGCGAGGCATACTCCCTCTCGAACACCTGGGAGTCCTCGTTCTCCAACTGCACTGACCCGGCCGCCGGCCCCTGCGACGCTACGCCGAAGTACCAGTACGCGAACGCTGGAGGGGGTGGTGCCTCTCCCGCCCCACTCCTCCGTTCCCACCCCTCAGGCTCCAAGGATCTGGTACGTAGCGTCTGGGAAAGGCCCTGTCAGCCTACGGAAACATGAGGCTGCTGATGTTCAGGAGGAGGAGGGTGTTGCTGCTGACGCTGCTGCTGCTGCTGCTGCTGCTGCCGATGCTGCTGCTGCTGCTGATGATGATGATGATGATGCTGATGATGATGATGATGATGATGATGATGATGATGATGATGATGATGATGATGATGATGATAATGCGAGTCCTGGTGGTGCCGATGGTGATGATCATGGTGATGCTGTTGTTGATGATTGACATGGTGATAATGCTGATGAATATACTGCTGTTGCTGCTGCTGATGATGGTGACGGTGAGGCTGATGATGATGGTGATGGTGAACAAAAGGGTACTGTTGATGGTGTTGATGCTGCTGATGATAATGATGACGATGCTGCTGCTGCTGCGGCTGCTGCTGCTGATGATGCTGCTGCTGCGGCTGGTGCTGCTGCTGATGTCGTTGATGATTATGACGACGATGGTGATGATGATGGGGTGGTGGTGTTGATGCTGATGCTGACTATCATGACGTGAAGATGATGATGATGATGACGAGGATGCTGCTGATGATGATGATCATGCTGATGTTGTTGATGATGGTGCTGACTATGCTGCTGATAATGACGATGGTGATGCCGATGATGATGACACTGGCGATACCGGCACCGACAACGATAACGACATTGATGATGTTGATGACGACGATGAGGATGGCGGTGGTGGTGATGATGATGATGATGATGATGTTGATGGGGAGGATGATGATGAGGAGGATGAGGATGATGATGAGGAGGATGAGGAGGCTGAGGATGAGGATGAGCATGAGGATGATGGTGATGCTGATTATGATGATGATGCTGATGATGCTGATGATGGCGATGATGATGTTGACGATGCTGCTGCTGATGATGCTGATGATTAGGATTGTGAAGGTTGTGGTGGTGATGGCGTCGGTTGTGTTGCTGACAGTTCTGGTTATACGATGAAGCGTAATGCGAGCCGTAACGTCCACATGGACCATGAGACAAAGAGAAAGACGACTAGCAGCAATCATGCATCCCCTCGGAGGCGCTGAGTATCGGCCGACTGAGATACCTAGATCAGGCCGACCCGGGGCAAGGGGGCCTGGGATGTTCAGAGATATCAACCGCGCTGCCATGAGAACCACGCTGCACGGCCTGGGCCAGAGAGTCGCGCGTGGGACGGCGCGGGGGGGCGCAACTAACCCAGCCGCGCGCTTCGCCCCGCGCGAAGCGCGAAGTTAGATGACTCAGGCTTGACCAGGGAGGTTCTTTGAGGCCTCCAGAGGTCCCCGACAGTCCCCTGCCTCTGGAGGCCTCTGGCGGCCTCCAGAGGTCCGTCCAGGGGCCGCAGGTCCGCAACAGCCAAACACCCCATCCCTGTAATAGGCGTGCGGCGGCCCGCCAGGAGCGACGCTCGCGTTCCGAAACCTTCCAGTATGTGCCTGTTGGCGGGTGCTTTCTGGCCATGCCGCCTGGGTAGCGGCACGAGATGTTTGTACTACATGTTCGGTTCGGACGTGCGTCTCCAGGGACGCACAGTACTAGTACGTTTTTTGTTGCGTCCTCACAAGCCTTCCAAGCCTCGATCGGCCCTCGAACCTCGACCCAGGAGGCCGTCTGTGGGAGCTCGGTCCCAGCACCCTACCGATCAGCTCGTGCGGCGGGGGGGCGCCGTCGCGTGACAGGGAGCCCCCTCCTGCTGCTGCTGCTGCTGCTGCTCCTCCTCCTCCTGCTCCTCCTCGTCGTCGTCCTCCTTCTCCTGCTGCTCCTCGTCCTCATACTGTTGTGTGTGTGGCTAAGCGTGTTGCGCCGTCGCTTCTGGCCCGCCACGCTTCGGTGCGACCACGCGTCAACGTCCCGAGCTCATCTCAGCCTCCCGTCCCACGGAGCAGAGCGACGCGCTATCAGCTTGCAGGGTATAGCTTGTCGCTGGGGCAGCTGCCGCAACACGCTCGTAAGCTCCTGACCGTAGAAAAGTTCATGCGCACCTCCCACAGGTTAGTCACCAATCCCAGTACTTGTATCTTGTTGACGGCTTCCCCTGTGGCCTGTGGTGACGTCCTTGTGACCGATCAATTCGGCCAGAAGTGGTCGTCTGCAGTTTCTTTAAGAATTCTCGGGCCGACGGTCTCGGACGTCGGCAGCAGCCAACAGGACCTTTGAGGGACATGGGCAATTGTCAGCCGCGCTTTCTGGAAAAACGGAACGGTCCTGACCAACCAGTGCCTTCCGACTAACAAGCGCATCGCCCGAGTCGACACGGTGGTTACAGCAATCTTTTGACCGAGGCCAGCTGCGTGGACTCCTATCTAGGCGACGGTACAGTATTTAGATTTGAAGCATTTGTCCGTGATGGTTTGGTTTTTTAGGGTGGGCAAGTTTATCTCACGAAAAGATCAAGTCATATTGTGCTCTTGTGGGCTCAGAGGTCCTTTCCCTATCCGTTAGTCTCAGGTGTTCCTGCATTCATCCTTCTGGCTCTCACGCCTCCATTGGGGCACGTCTTGGATCAAATGCCCTCATGAACTAAATTCGGGCTTGGTTGATTCCCGGCGCTCTGTTTGGGCTTTCCCATTAGAGTTTCCAGAAAGTTTTTCGGAGGCCAGGAAGGGGGCAAAGTGATTCGATGGGACAACGGATGGTCCAGTCGCTTTGGCCCTTCGGGCACGCGCGATAGCCAAGTCCTCTGATCCCTAGCCAAGTCCTCCGATCCCTCTCCATTAAGTTTCTCTCTTTTCTAGGAAGCCAGGAGCGAGTGTCAGAGCACTAGCTGTCCGTTAGGGGACTCCATGGACTGCTTCGGGGAGCGCCCACCTGAACGACCCTAACCAGACCAGCAATTCGGAGTGTGCGGGTCGCACGAACCGTTTTCAAGTCAGAAGTGTGTTGGCAGGTTTGGGATACCATGCCTCAGGGCTTCCCAGTATCTCAGACAAGCGGGTATTAAGTATATCGGAAATTCGCAGATGCCACGCAGGTTGTGCGCTAGTCCCCGAGCTTCAGCCAGTATGCACTTTCCGTCGGCTTCTGCTGCTGGCCCACAGGCCACTTTCGCTTCAGGTGCGGGACAATTTGCCTTGGTCATAGTCGGTATTTTTGGATAGAACTCCTCGGTGCCCCTTTTTCCGGTCAATAAGAAGAGGGTTGAGGCGGACCATACGATTATGAGACAGTCGAGTTTGATTAGTAGGTCGACCCTGCCTAAACCAGGGCACCCTTATGTCCTGTGTTTCGCGACCCATGCCCTCTACGTTCCGCTGGCAATGTGGCCATCGGAAGAGTCGTGTGTCCTCTCGCGTGTCCTCTCCAATCCTCCCCGACTAAGGCTGAAGAGCAGAAGTAGAGACGGACTGGTTTGACGACGCACGGCAGCAACATGAGGAGGAGATTAAGAAGGACAGCGGAGCGGGGGAAGGGAGGGAGTCGTGAAGGAGGCGGAGGACTGATGCCGCTATTTGAGTTTATGCCAGGCCTCTGACATAGGCGAGGTAGGGGCCAAACCGGGAGGCAGGCCAATAGGGGGCAGGGCGTAGGCCGAGTGGGGCGGGAGGGGGAGGACTCATCATTGGCCCCGTCTCTGACATCTACGAGATGCTCCAGGGCATGGAGACCTATCAGTCAGATGTCAACCTGCTCGCGAACGATTACTACCTGAAGAATCCAGGGACGGTCCCTCGGGTGGACGAACGCCACATGTCATGGATTCTTGGGAGGCTCGCAGTGGCAATACCACCGCGTCGCGTCGTCGCCTTCGCACGGGAGGGGGATCACATTGGGCGCGTTTGGTACGGCCTGTGAGCTGTCGGGGTGGCCGAGGCACCACCCAAAAGCTCTCCAGAGGCCGTCATGAGACCTCCAGAGAGGGCGCTCAACATATGGAAGTCCTTTTATTTCAGCGCATGTGGCTAGCCTCTTGGGAGCCTGTCGGGGCCTGTCTGGGCGTGCCCGGGCCTCTAAGCTCTAAGAGGCTTCCACATGGCATTTTGCTTCAAACTCGCAGGACTCGGAACCGTCGGTTTCTGCGGGGGCCTTGGCGTTGTCGTCGGGGGCTTGCAGCTGCCTGAGGCTGGTCCACGACCTTCTTGTAACAGTGTTTAACCTTCCAGGCCCACATCGAAGCCTGGCCCCAGGGACGGCGGGAGGGCCACTGACTCTCGGGCCTCTCTGGCGCCCAAGGTTTATTTCGTACCGCTCGGATTCGCGAAACCGCCGCAGTTGTGGGCACCAGACATGGGTTCCACCTCAACCAGGCGACGATGCACCGTGAAACAATGGCCACACTGTTCGCGTATGTCTGCTTTTGTGTTGACGCCGTCGTCGCGATGATCGCGATGGAAAGGTGACGCTCGACTATGCAGGCGGCCTCTTCCTCTCTCTGCACAACATGGTGAACAACGGCAACGCCCCCGCCGAAGTTCAGGAGATCAACGGCACAAGGGCGCCGCCCGCACAATCATCTGCAAGGTGGAGACATGGGATGAGTTTGTGAACCTACTTCTCTTTGTCCCTCAGTAGTGGACAGCGTCCACGTCGCGCGGCCTCGAGCACTTTTCGGCGAGCAGTCCTGTGATGGAACGTAGAGGAGAAGTAATGCAAGCATGAGGACGATCACGCAGTGTTCGCAGCGTCTGGCGTCAAGTGCGATCGCGGCCACACGATGATGACGACGACAGCGGGTTGGCGTTTTTGTCGCGGATGCCCCACGCGGATCGTATCCGTGCGATCGCGTTTCCGAGGGGTCGCGCCCCAGAATGTAGACCGCGAGGGCGCGGATACGGGTATGTCGCCGCGCCGTTTGTTCCGACGCGTGGCCTTCCGTCTTGGGGAGTGCGCCTCGGCCACCAGGACAGACTCCGCCTCGGACGCGGTGGGTTTGTCGTGGGATTTGCTGCGGTGCCAGCTTCGTCTACTTGGGTTGGGGCGCAGGGCTTCCCATGGGTTTGCCGTGGTGTCGGCGTCGTCCATTTGGGCGCGTCGAGAACTTGGGCGCGTCGAGAACAAACGGCGCGGCGTGGATCTGGCCCCTAAGCGTCAGATCCACGGATCCCTCATCCATGTCAGCGTGTCCCCGATTCCCGCGGCGGCGCCAAGCCGGGGATTACAGTGCCCAATGCCGGTTTTTCACCCACGGAAGTCAGCCAGGGAGCCCCCCTGATTTTAGGATGCATGTCCTGGGAGGTCAACTTCAGCATCGGCGCTTGTATGTCCGTGGTCGCAAGAGGCCCAGTCCGGCTTGATCCCATTTTAAAAATCTGCTTGACAACGTCGGTGGAGACAGCGGTTGGGTGCTCGTTTTCGGGGACCTTTCTGGGGCCTACCTAGGGAGGAGGGAGGAGGGAGGAGGGAGGAGGGAGGAGGGAGGAGGAGGAGGGAGGAGGAGGAGGAGAAGGAAGAGGAGGAGGAGGAGGAGGAGGAGGAGGAGGAGGAGGAGGGGGAGGGGGAGGAGGAGGAGGAGGAGGAGGAGGCAGCTCGACTTCAGCTCGACTCAAGTTCGATTCGAGTCCAGCTCGAGTCGACGGGCGTCCGCCGCAGCATCGACGCCTGAGAGCGGAGCGAGTGGCCCTATAGGGTGTGTGTGGATGCTGGACGTGGTGCGGCCTCGCTGCGTGGCGGGGCGGCGTGCGCCGTGCGCCCTCCTGGGGCTCTCTTCGGCGCGGGCGACGAGCACACCCGCGGTGTGACTCCTGCGGGTGGCTGTGCTTCGCTGGCGCGCCCACAGGGAAAGCAGCGAGTGCTGGCTGGCCTTCCCAGAAGGCGGCTCGGCCTCTCGGGAGCTCCGGGGCCTTCCGTGGAGCTCAGGAAGCTTCTCAGAGGGCCAGAGGCCTTCAGAGGCTTTCAGAAGGCACGCCCCCTGTGCCTTCCCCCACGGGCGCGCCGCCAGGTGTTTCCCTTGCTGGACTTCTAGGCTTGGGCCCCTCTGGGCGGCCTGTGCCATCATCGGGGGGCGTTCCCAGAGGCTGCAGCGAGGAGGAGCATGGCGGGCCGGCCGCCGACGACACAGCTACGTTCACTGATCCTTGCCAGTCCACTTCTGGACCCAGGGTGGGCCTGGCCTGGGTCAGGATACAGTCGGGGCCCTGAAGAAGGAACCCTTTTGGTTGGGGAGGGGCTCCGCGTTCCTTAAGTGGTTCACAGCTTGCCTCAAGTTGTCCTTATGTCTTCGATAGGAAATCGAAGTTTAACTTATGGAAAAAAGGGGCCTCGTTCCTTATTTAGGGTTCCTTAGGTCAACGCCCCGACTGTAGGTGTATCGCCGGCGACCCCCGACTCAAATCCGCTCCAAGCTGATCCCCGGAGCACATCGCGGCTCGTTTCCCGAGCCGCGCTTGCGGCTTTTTCTTTTTTTTTTTTTTTTTTTTTTTTTTTTTTTTTGTTTTTTTTTATTTTTTTTTTTTTTTTTTTCATTTTTTTCTTTCTTTTTTTTTTTTTTTTTTTTCTTTTTTTTTTTTTTTTTTTTTTTTTTCTTTCTTTTTTTTTTTTTTTTTATTTTTGTTTTCTTAGTTTTTCTTTTTTTTTTTTTTGTTTTTTTTATTTTTTCTTTTTTCTTTTTTTTCTTTGTTTTTATTTGTTTTTTTTTATTTTTTTTTCTTTTTTTTTTTTTTTTTTTTTTATTTTTTTTTTTTTTTTTTTTCTTTTATTTTTTTTTTTTATTTCTTTTGTTTTTTTTTTCTTGTTTTCCTTTTTTTTTTTTTTTTTTTTTTTTTTCCTTTTTTTTTTTTTTTTTTTTTTTTTTTTTTGTTTTTTTTTTTTGTCTTTTATCTTTTTTTTTTTTTTTGTTTTCTTTTGTTTTTTTTTTTTTTTTTTATTTTTTTTTTTTTTTTTTTTGTTTTTTTTTTTTTTTTTTTTTTTTTTTTTTTTTTTTGTTTTTTTTCTTGTTTTTTGTTTTTCTTTTTTTTTTTTTTCTTTTTTTTTTCTTTTTTTTTTTTTTTTTTTTTTTTTTTTTTTTTTTTTTTTTTTTTTTTTTTTTATTTTTTTTTTTTGCTTTTTTTATTTTTTTTGTTTTTTTTTTTTTTTTTTTTTTTTTTTTTTTTTTTTATTTTTTTTTTTTTTTTTTTTTTGTTTTTTCTATTGCGGCTGTGGCGGCGAAGGGACGGCAGCGAGCGCGCGAGAAAGGTTATGGCTATCCTGATTGTCAGCCTCGGGTCGGTGTTGCAGGCACCGTGACGCGTATTTTCGTCGGGGATGAACGTTCGAATCTCGGAGAGGGGCACGGCGCCCTCGGGCAACGCCCGCTGTCGAGCTGGACCTCTTTTGGGCGAGGGGGGGGGGGGGCACATTCCTGGCCGCACTTTACCACGAGCGGCGAGCATAGTTATCCATGTCCACGCTCTCGCGGTCCAGCGCGAGCCCGTTGATAGGCGGTCGCGTCGGCACGCTCCTCGCGGGGCATCCGCGAGAAAGCGCCCCGCGTCGATGGGCTCGCGCCCCAATGGGCCCCGTCCGCGAGGCCGTGGGTATGCGTGTGCTTCATGTCCACGACGTGCATCGCTGAAACGTGGCACCGCGCGTGCAATCCCAGCCCCCGAGGCAGCACGGTGCCCCTTCGGGGGCATCCTAGGATGATGCTGTGTGACTGTAGGGGTTGGGCGTACCGAGCTTCCCGACCAAGAAGGCGGCGGGCGGGGACCGCGGCAGGCGCTGTACAGCAGCACCCTGGGCCAGACCGTGTGCTTCGTCCAGGGGAACGGGAACGGGTTCACAACCCTGCAGGCGGCGAGTCGCCCCATGATGATGATGATGATGATGATGATGATGATGATGATGATGATGATGATGATGATGATGATGATGATGATGATGATGATGATGATGATGATGATGATGGTAGTTGTGATGAGGATAATGGTGATGAAGATGATGATGCTGATGCTTGAGGTGTTGATGATACTTGATATGATGCTGATGCGGATGATGATGATGATGATGATGATGATGCCGATCATAACAATCATGATGATGAGGAGGATAATGACAATAATGATGGTAAGGAGGAGGATGAGGAGGATGGTCATAACGATGATGCTGATGATGATGATAACGATGGTGGTGGTGATGATGATGCTGAGGATGATGAGGATGCTGCTGCTGATGATGATGATGCTGAGGATGATGATGTTGTCGATGATGGTGGTGTAGGTAACGATGATACTGATGATGTTCATGCTGATGATGATTATGATGAGGATTATTCTAAGATGGCGATGATACAGATGATGCTGATACTGGTGCTGATGATGATGGTGGCGATGGCGAAGTTGAGTCTGATAAGTATGACGACGATGATAATGTTGATGATGCTCATGATGATGATGGGGATAAGAAGGAGGAGGAGGAAGATGCGGGGTATGGTGATGGTTATGATGATGATGACGATGGCGATGATGATGATGATCATGATGGTGATCATGATGGTGATGATGATGCCGATGATGCTGATGGATGATGGTGATGACGATGCTGATGATGCTGATGATGGTGATGGCGATGCTGATGATGCTGATGCTGATGAAGATGCTGATGATGATGGTCATGATGCTGACGTCGATAATGATGATGACGACGATGATGATGGTGCTGATGATGAACTTAATGACGGTGACCATGACGATGGTGACGATGATGACGAGGATGATGATGCTGATGCTGGTACGGATGATGTTTTTTATGATGATGTTGATGATGAGGATGTTGATGATGATTGCGATTACTATTACGTTACGATGGTGGTGATGATGCTGCTGATGATGGTGCTGATGCTGATGCTGCTTATCATGATGATGGTGATGATGTCGATGATGATGTCGGTGATGCTGATGTGGCGATGGTGATGATGGTGACGATGATAAGGATGATCATGATGATGGGGAGAATGATGATAATGATGATGATGATGATGATGATGATGATGATGATGATGATGATGATGATGATGCTGACGACGATGACGACGATAATGCTGCTGATGATGATGCTGCTGGTGATGATGATGGTGCTGACGATGGTGCGTACGATGATGAGGCTGATGATGCTGATGATGGCAGTTATGATGATAGTGCGGCTGACGATTATGATGATTATGATGGCAATGAGAATGGACATGATAATTTCAATGATGCTGGTGATGCTGATTATGGTGACGCTGATGATGATGCTGATGACGACCGATGATGATGCTGCTGATGATGATAGTGCTAACATCATCATCATTCTCATCCCAGGAAAGCCTTGAAGCCTCCCAAAGATCATTCGGAAACCTTCCCAACCTCCGAAAGCCCCGCCCCTCCTCGTCGTCCCTCTTCTTCGTCCTCTTCCCTCAGAAACCCGTGACAACCTGGAATCTCCTCCTGCTTTGCCTCCGTCCCTCTTCCCTCTTCCCACCTCCCTCGGGGTGTGCCTCCCTCCGTGGTGGCCGAGGCCCAGCGTGCCCGCGGCAGCGAGGCGGCTGGGCCGCGTGGCCCAGGATGACCGCCGTCCTCGCATGGCCGACGTGGCAGCCCTCGCCGCGGCGGCCCTCGGAGCACATCGTCTTCATGCTGGCGGGGGTCAGTGCAAAAGGAGTGAGCCAGAGCGCTGGATCTTGCAGGATCCTGCGGAGCCACGGTTGCACTGACCCGGGCCAGCGCGCAGGATGCTGCCGGATCTAGCAGAATCTTGCAAAGCCAGATTGCCCCGGGCTTGAATTGACCCTGGTCAGTGGGTCCCCGACCTCCTTGAGTTCCTTTTGGGACCCACCTCCTGGCCACGTCACGTGCCCTGGGGTGCCGCCTTAATGACGCGCATGGCTGCTTCGGCTCTGCCCCGCCCCCAGCGTGCTGGTTGTGGCAGCCTGCCGCTGCCGCTGCAGTCGCCGCTAGTTTTCAGCAGCTTCTTCGCCTTCCTGTCAGCGTTGGCATGGGCGCTGCGGCAGCCGCCGACGATCCCTCGTCGGCCGCCGTCGGGCCCTCCCTGCAGGGGACCACAACAGAGCCAGAAGAGCAGCAGGGCGCGGCCGCTAGGTGCGCTCCCCGTTCGCGCGGGCTTGATCCTGGTGGCAGCGTCCTCGCCTCTGGGCTCATGGACGTCTTCTCCGTCGCCGCCTTCGTCTTCCTCGTGCTCTCCCGCTGGGGCAGCTGCCGCTTCTCCAGCCGCTGGGCATCGCATAAAAAACCCCCTGCGCTCTGGTGTGCCTGCTGCTATGGTTACGCGCTCGTCGACGCCATCTCACTCGGCGTCCTCGGCCGCTGCTGCGACAGCACCTGCTGTTTCGCCGCACGCGGCGCCCTTCATCATAGCATTCCTGCTCACCATCGTGGGCACTGCGGCATGCGCTGCACATGGGCCTGCAGGGACCGATGCAATGCTGTTCGACCTGATGTGCTTCCTCGTCCGCTGAGGGACTTCGACGTGCTGTTCGACGTCGCCGTGCTCTGGTGGGCCACAGCCGGGTCTCCGCCTGCCGCCCTCCAGCCTCAGCGGCCCCAGCAGTTGCAGCGTGCACGTTGGTGCCTGGCAGCGCTCACGGGCTGCTCGTGCTGGTGGTGGCGGTCCTCTTCGAGAGTGTCCCGCCCCCGCGGGGCCCCGCCCCTCGTGGTCTCGGGACGAGAGGGTTCCGAGCCCTCGTCCTCTCCCGCGCTCTCCTTCCCTCTTCCCGTCTTTTCCTCTTCCCTTCCTCCCTGCCTTCCTCCCTTCCCATCGTTTCCTCTCCTCGTCCTCCCTCCCCTCTTCCCGGGGGGATGATCCCTGTTTCTCTCGCGGGTTTGGGCCTCCTCGGGGAGTGAGGCCGCCTTACGCGTTTGGCTTCCCACCTGCGCCGTCCCAGAGATCCCAGTTGCGATTCACGTCGCTCTCTGTTGGTCAACTCCGTGTTCTTCACACCTCTGGCTTCCACGTCGTGGATCGCCCCCATTCGCCCTCCCGCTCTTTTTTCCGACCGTTGGGGCCATCCCGTGGATGGCCGTGCCAGGTGCAGTCACTTCTCGTCCAGAGCCTCGTCTCTGCTCACTCCGAGCAGCTGCGCACAGCGCGATCCATCTGGCGTTGGCCGTCTGAGCTTGGAGCGCACAAAGAAATTCACGATGACAAAGGTGAGCCTGGAGGAAGCCAAACCAACGAGGTAGCTGTAGAAGGGCTGCGCCACGGCCTCCATTCGGGGGGGGGATAGGTGATTGGACAGGAGGGGGAAGCTCGAGGAGGTATCGCAGGAGGGATTCGAGGGGGGATCCGAGGGGCGATCGCAGGAGGCATCGCAGGAGAGACTGGAGGAGGCACGGGAGGAGGGCTGGCAGGGTGCATCGCAGGAGGCGCGGCGGCCGTTGCCGCCCCCTCTCCGGGTGCCGCGCGCAGATCCTCACCTTTGTTTTCTTTTTTTTTTCTTTTTTTTTTTTTTTTTTTTGTTTTTTTTTTTTTTTTTACTTTATTTTTCTTTTCGTTTGTTGTTTTTTTTAGATCCTCACCTCTGACGCGTCGGTGTCGGCCATGGGGAGGGGGGCGTCAGGGGCCCTGGCATCGCTCGGACGTGTGCACATTTTTTCCTCGGCGGGGATTATGAAGGAGCATCCTGGATCATCCTGCGAAACCACCACGCACGAAACCGGACAAAAACACAGGGAGTGGACGTCCGAGCGACGGCCAGGGGCGATTCCCTCCGCCTCCGCCCATGACCTGAAGCCACGGCACCCCCTCCGGGGCGCAGCTTCTCGTCCCCGATCCCTTCCTGATGTTCCCGGTGGCTCGAGAGCGTCCTCCGGAGGCTGAGGCCGAGGAGGGCCCGGGGCTGCAAGAACCCAGTCCGGCGGAGGGTCTGGAAACGTCACGTCGGGCGGGCGACCAGGACCAGGATTCTCATCGCTCTCAGAGCGTTCCGGAACGCTCTCAGAGCGTACCACAGCGCTCTGGAACGGCCGCGGCGCCCTTCCGCGCCAAAGCCGGAGGTTGGGGGGTGAGGTCGAAGCGGAAAGGAGAGCCCCCTTCCGGGAAATCGGATTCGGTTTCGTGTTCGTGTCGTGCGCGCAGGCGAGGCGAAGCGGCGTGGGTGGGCGAGAGGGATGAACCCTCCATTGTTAGGGCGCTGCCAGGACAGAAGTCCGCCCGTCCGTTTGGCGGGCGGGTGCTGGGGGTGTCCCGACGTGGTGTCCCGATTGTGTTTCGTGGTATCTCGTGGTGTCTCGTGGTGTCTCGTGGTGTCCAGCGGTGTTCCGATGGTGTTCCGATGGTGTTTTGGCGGTGTCACGATGGTGTCTTGGTGGTGTCCCGCTTGTGTCCCAGTGGTGCCCCGATAACGTCCTGGTTGTCTCCCGATTGTGTCCCGATGGTGTCCCGATGGTGTCCCGATGTTGTCCCGTGGTGTCCCGCGGTGTCCCGCGGTGTCCTGAGTGGTGTCTTGGTGGTGTCTCGATGGTGTCCCGATGGTGTCCCAATGGTGTCCTGGTGGTGTCCCAGATCCCAGTGGTGGTCCGATGGTGTTCCGATGGTGTCTTGGTGGTGTCCTTCTTGTGTGCCGGTGGTGCCCCGTTAATGTCCTGGTTGTCTCCCGATTGGTGTCCGGAAGTGTCCCGATGTTGTCCCGTTGTGTCCCGCGGTGTCCCGCGGTGTCCTGGATGGTGTCTTGGTGCTGTCTCGGTGGTGTCCTGATGGTATCCAAAATGTGCCCCGGTGATGTCCTGGTGATGTCTCGATTGGTGTTCCGATTGGTGTCCCTTGGTGGTGTCCTGGTGGTGTCCTGATGGTGTCCC